TGAATCAATGAGCATCTTCTGAAGTCTTGTCATATACGACGTCCAGTTCTAATTGTGTGGAAAGTACGGAAATTAGGCCCACAAGGTCCTAAGCTTGCAATTAGTAGCTATGTACTACAGTGGAAGAATATAGAAGAATATAGTCTTTTTTTTTTTCTTTCTTTCTTTTTTTTTTTTTTCTTTCCCTGACAGTGCACTTCTAAGCAATCAGGTAGAATTGCATGGTTCAAAAAATTTTTAACCACCATCCCCTAACTTTGGGGAAAATGTTTAGGTCAAAGGGAAGAGGCTGTGGGACCATTGAGACCTGAATGTAAATGAAGGTAAAAGATGGGATTAACTGTATGGAAGAAGATCAAACTGAGATTAGGTCGAGTAGAAGCAAATGTAAGAGAAGAAAAAGATTATTAAGTGGTAGGATAAAATCCTGGAGTCCAGTATTCTTTTTCTTTCTGGCTTATTTCACTAAGCAGTTCCATCCATGTTGCTGTAAATGGCATGAGTTTATCTTTTTTGATTGCTGAGTAATATTCTATTGTGTATATGTACCACATCTTCATGATCCAGTCATCTATTTTTGTGCATTTGGGTTGATTCCACATCTTCCCTATTATAAATAGAGCAGCAATTCACAGGGGTGCAAATGTTTTTGAAAAATAATGTAAAAAATAGATTAAAAAATTCTAAATATATTTTACCCTCTAGACCTTTTAAAATCTAAAAAAAAAAAAAACAAAAAACAAAAATCCTGGGGTCCATAGACTCATTTTGAATGTGCTGCAGGGAAAACTAGTGAGATAACTTTGGTCTATTCCTCTTCAGTACTGCTGATACTGTTTATTAGTAGCTAAGTAGATTTGGAGAAGAAGCAAGTATTTTGAGTCTGACCATTGCTTGTTGATCTGATGTTTCCTGCAATTCCCAGTTTGGTCACTGACTTATAAAGGTGACTAGATGTGTGACTGTTTTCCTGTTTGCATTAAGAGTAATGATACAAATAAACCATAGGCAGATCCCAAAAAGAAATGGGGTGAATGCAGGAGAAATTGTACATGAGCAGATACTAAATACTGTGGTACACAAACATTGAAAATCCTACATTCTCTTCCAGCTCACCTTTTGGTTAATATTTCAACCTCTGCTATAAGAATATTCATGGTTAAAACACAATATATCTCAGACTATATACCTCAATCTGCTTAAACATTAAGGAATCGTTAAGAGTTAAAGTAATCAGCAAGTCAGATTCTTTGTTCCTGTTATTATGTCAAATGTGTTTTATATTTTATGGTTTTTAACAAAATATGCTAGTGATAGAATAAAGGACAATGATTTAAATATATTATAGAATTTAAGATGCACTATATATAAATATAAAGCATTGCAGAAAGCAGTGTAAATATAGAAACCCAATAATCACCCAAATTAAATAGATGTTAATATTGCTTCAGTCTTCTCTTTGTTTGTAAAGCAGTAGGACAGCATACATTACTAAGGCCTCCTTCCCCTCTGCTTCTCTCTCTCCTGAGGAAACCACTACTCTAAATTCAGATTGTATTAGTAAAATATATAGTTAAAAATATATAGTTTTGCTACAGGTTTATACAGCCATAAGCATTATGATTTTAATGTTGCATTAAAACTTTAAAAATTAAATTATTGCAGTTTTTCATATGGTTTTCACACGTTTAACTGAAATTTTGTTTTTCTTTTACTCAAAAAATTAAATATGTATAAAATGAGTAGTTTTGGCATGACTTTCTGCCTTAATATCCTAAATTATAGTACCTGTACTGTTTTACATTGCTGTCTAACAAATATCATATACACATGTATAGGTATAATTGAACTATGTTTTTCTGTACTATGTGTGATGTTATATTTTCTAGCTTATTTATTTTTAAATAATTGTTCCATGTTTTAGTAAATTGATTTTCAACCTAATATTAGTTGTCATTTATGATTTGAAAGCATTAATATAAAAAATTAAAATCAATGTTGATTTTAGTATACCAACATAAACATTGTAATATGTAGTAAAAGTTCTACAAATAATAAGGCAATATATAAAAATAGAATTCTTTTGCAAAAGGTTTCACTCATTTTAGCCAATTAATTCATTTTAAACATTTGCCTTTCTAAATTAAGTCCATACATATTTTAGCCTTTTAATTCATTAACCTCACTTACCTCGCCTTTTAAAGAACGTGTACTGGTCACTATAGTATATCTCCTTCTAGTCTGTTCCTACCATGGTTTACCTGTAGTCTAGGAGGGCTCTCATGGTGTCAGGAAAGAAAGAGCTCTTGCTGGCTCAGAAATTGAATCCTAGGTTTGTTAACATTAACTATATATAGCCTTAATAAATTCTTCCTTCCAGCCCTCATTTTTCTCACCCATTAAACAAACAGATTGACTGGCTCATCTTGAAAATATTTTAATTCTTTGAAATATAGGGTAACTAGGAGCTGAGCCTCAAGTTGTAGAATTTGTTGAGAATTTATCTGTTGTTAAAAAAAGGACTACTTATTGGAATTACTGTTTTGCAGTTCAAAAGAGGTAAGCAGGTCACATTCAGTTTAACATGATTCCTGGGCAGAAATGATCCCTTCTCCATCATAAGACTATTTCAGAGTGATCTTGATTTCTCCCACATCTGCCTACTTTTGATAATTATATTCAGTGAGAGGCAGGACTGTGTAAATTACATCTTACATATGAAAACATGTAAGTGTTAAGAATGCCAAAGGGTAATGGATACTTTAATAGTAGGTAAGGTGTGATAACATACATATGAAGAGGTGTGAACCTATATCCCTTAAGTCACATACAGTATTTTAAACTAATACAAAAAAATGTAATTTAAAAAACCCCTAGATAATCAAATAAACCTTTTTTTAAAGATTTGTTTATTTATGCATACTAGAACTGGGGTACAGCCAGAAAGAAGTGCAGGGTTGAGAGGATCCACCAGAGACAGAGTGAGGAGCAAAAAAGGCAGATCTACTGAAGCACACTGCTGAGGGGAGCAGTGGACAAGACAGGAACAGTCTTTTGCACCATGTGGGTCACCTCCCTGGCCAGGGATCGAACTGGAGCTGCAGTGGCTGCGGAGAGCTTTGTAGTGCTGTGCTTTAAAACCCTTTGTGCCACTAGGGAAGGTGCTCAAATGAATTTTATCAGAAAAACTTGTGGTTGGGGGAGGGGGAAGGATGACAAGGGAGTATTTGTTTCTTCATTTCATTTTCGTGAAATGCCCTCACAGGGTAATCAAGCTGCAGAAAGAAATCTATAATTTCTGGTAAGCCCTGGGGGATAGTTTCATGATTCCTACACATTGTGTAGTCTGAGGCTTTGTGGAGTTTTCCTTTTCAGTAGGAATTAAATGTTTGATATAAAGTAAGAAATTATCCCTTAAACTATAATTCCTTAAAGTAAACAGAAAACAGCACTGATGAGTCTTTTATGCATTTCTATGTATATGTTTGTTTTAACAAGCATTATGTGTGTGTGTGTGTGTATGTGTGTGTGTATATATATATATATATATTTTCTTTTACATTGGGCAGAACGATTTGTAATTTATTACAGCATGACAGTTAATGATACATAAGCCTTGTACAGATGATATCTCTCTTTCTAAACTAGTGTGAATTATGAAGCATTTGAAAGAGTAGTAAGGCCCAGGATATCCTGCCTTACATTACTAATATTTTCTGAAATGACTAATGAGTCCTTGCCAGATTCTCAGCAGTTTGGTGCTATTGAAAAACTTGTTGATGGTCCATTTTGATAGTGTACTATCCTCTTACATATTTTCTTTTACATCTGTGAAGCAGAACATTTTCATTTTCACTTTTACTCATTGTCTATCTCAATTACTTTTTTTTTTTGTCTTAAAGGATAAAAGCACAGAAGTCTTATGTTAGAAATGAGTTTTTCCTTACAGATGGTGGCAAGACTTTTTTCTGTAACATTTTTTGTTTTTAGTTGGAGATTAGAAACCTATGTAGTTCATATGTAACTTTGTAACTATTACTTTTTAAAATAACATTGAAATACAAGTTTCAAACTATACATTCATGTTTTAAAAATTTACAATTCAGTGGTTCTTAATATATTCACAGTGTTGTTCTATCGTCAGTACTAATACTTACGAACATTTCATCATCCCTAAAAAAAACCTCCAGACTCATTAGCAGTCACACTCCCATTTCCTTCCTCTAGCCCCTAAGAATGGTTAGAAGCAGGAGTTTTAATACTGCAGTCTGAGATAGAATGGGTGTTGGAGACTATTACTTCTCCTTCTTAAAAAAATAAATCAGTGAATGCCCTGCCTGAATCTCCAGCTGGAGGAAGAGTTAGAGACTGATTTCTGGTGCCCTCTAAGCTTTTAGTCTTCTTATGTTTTGATTTTCAGATTCTTTTTAGTCAGCTCTATATTTAGAAAGACTTAGAGACCCAAATCTAACTCATGTCTTTTCTTGACTGTGGTTTTCCTTTAAGTGGAGATCTGCTCCTGGGCATAGTGAAGGGATTGATGAAGGTATATCATACAGCTTTAAAAAGTCTGGGAGAAGATTCTCTAAACTCCAGATGACTAAGGCATAGGTAGATTTTTTTCTTAGCTTCTCTGACTTAGAGAACTCATCTTTCTCTCAATGCAATATGTAAAATAGTCTCATCTCTTTTATTTTCTTAGCATTATTACTTGTCTTTTCTTCTTTGAAATGAATTGCAATTCCTGAACCTCTAGTTTCTGATTCTGTAGTTTATATACTTAGGTCAGGAACCAGGCCTAACTTAACTGTGTGACACCTTGTACTGGTAATGTAGTATCTTGTTGTTTTTAAAATTAAGTCTACTAACTAGTTACTGTTTTGTACAGCAGATTATAAAGTTGATCAACCTAAAATAATAGAAATGACCTTTGAAGGTAACAAAATTCTCTTTGTGTTAACATGCAGCTAAGAAGCCTTCCTGTTTGTTTTCCTTTCCAGTGTGCCGAGATTTTGCTGTCCTGGAGGACCACACCCTGGCCCACAGCCTCCAGGAACAGGAGAGTGAGTAATGCTTCTTCAGTTTTCTCTCTTTAGTGGTAGCTTAAGGCAAGTTTCTTAGGGTGAGGCTGGGAGAAAGCACAATTACCAGGCTGAAACCATCCATCTTCTCCTGAGAGTTTTGTCTAAAACAATTCACAAATACCAGGGTGAAGAGTAAAGATCTTGAAATTTTGAAATATGACTGCCACCAGAGGTTAGAAGACTGCTGGGTATATGGGGGAATGAGAGATTTGAACCTTTTCCTGTGGCTTAGTGTCACTGAGGTATGGACGGCTGCTGGTGTAGAAATTTCTTCTGTACTAAATATTTTTTTCAAGGCTTTGCAAGCTCCAAATGCCAATTTTAGGTTATATATGTTACACAAAATTACATATTTGTGGACATGTAATTTGGGATGCAGTTATTTATGTGTCAATATAAAAATCAAGTATTGAAAAATGTAGTTTATAAATATAGTGACCAAGTTGTAAAGAAGAAAGAGCATTGGCCCTAGCTTTTGACTATCTGTGCAGAACTCTTGGCATTGCCACTGTTTTTGCATCTGACCAAAGGCTAGTTACTTAACTTTTCTGATCCTCTTTTTATTTAACAGGAAGATGGGAATAACTCCTTTACTGCCTACTACATAGCATTATTGAAAGCAAAAATGAAATAATGAATGCGGATCTCTTTTTAATGGACAAATTCTTTTCAGTTGATTCTGATGTCTATTATTAACAAACCATTGCACTATAGTTCCTCCTCTCAATCTTTTTGTCCAGTTGAACATCATTTGGCATCAAATATTCAGCGGAGTCGTTTGGTCCAGCATGATCTCCAGGTGGCTAAGCAGCTCCAAGAGGAAGACCTGAGAGCTCAGGCCCAGCGCCAGAAGCGCTACAAAGACCTGTAAGGAGTTGGGGAGCTGGAGATAAGTCAGTCAGGAATTGACTTTTTCTTTGGAGTCAGCACCCTGGGTCAGGGAAAGAGGCTCTCCTTCTGTCCCTCCCATTCCTTTCACTAGATTATACATCCTGTAGAGACTAATAGTTTCTTTAATTTGGAAATTTTGTTTGAATATAGTATTAAGTTTTGGGACATGTGAATTCTGTTGTAAACTCTTTAACATTTCTAACTGTTTGACTTTGAATCATTTTGTTCTCTCTGAGTCTATTTTAATGTGGAGAAAGTAATCTCTCTCCCCTCTGTGTTACTGTGTTGTTTTTTTCCCTACAGTCCTACCTGTTTGCTAACATCCACTTTCTCTTTTAACCCCATGCTTTTTAGGTAGGGGCAAATTTTCTGGAAAATTCGAATTGTGTGTTCAGTTCTTTTTATGACTTCAGGGTCTGACAGAATACCCTGTATTTTTTTTTTCTTTTAACAGTTAACTTACATGGAAAGATTGTATCTAATAACTCATGGAGATGACTTCCCTTTTTTTTTTTTTTTTTTT